AGAATCATTCTCTTAGATCTGTTTGCAAATTTCGCAAGCATATCTAAGAGAATGATTCTGTGATTGGCGATACGCGAATCCGCTTACGCACGATCCGCTGCATGGGATCTCACCCTAAGAATAAAAAACAGTTATTTATTAAAGTTTGTCTCCAGTTACGAGAAAAGTGTCACTGAACATTTTACTTAATTTTTTTCTCTGCTCGTATTTGCTTTTATTACGTTACTAGAATCATAGTCCTCGAAAGAAAAACGTGTTTCTTTTCATTATGATATTCGCGACGTGTAATTTCTCGTGTAATGAGTCATGGGAAATGATTTTCCACTTTCACGCTTACGTCTGAATATACAATGTATATTAAAATTGAGCGACGAAAATCGATTTATAAACTTTTTCGTCACGAATATTAAGGTTGAATGAGTAACTTTTTAATATTTAATATCAGCACGATGCTAAGTTTCGTTGCGTTGTGAATCAATTACAATTTTATCATTTAAATTATGACGAAAATTCGAATCAATTTTACATAATATATTCTCTCTTGAATTAGCATAGCGGATAAACTTCCGAAAATGGCAAACGCCCGATTATTATGAAATTTAGCAGAAATACTCCAAATGACGTCAAATGAATGCCCTTAAATGGATTTTCACTGACAAGAAAGTTTAATGCCAAAAATGTTTGAATGAAGTTATGGAAATTTGTACTTATTATTTTCAGTACACTATATGTTTATTGTAGTTTATGATAAAACTATGACCTTGATCTTGACATATATTGTCAAGGTCATAACCCTGAATAACCTCCAATAGGTTTTACCCATCGCTCGTCCTTCATTAAAAAGTTATTAACAAAAGAAGTTAGAAAAATAACGTATTATTTCAGCCATATATGCAATATTAAATATTATTCTATATAGGTTTTGACTCTCACAACAGCAACTTTCACAGGGTAGGGTGAGAGTCGAAGGTGAAAGTCGTGCGCTCCTGAAGCAAGGTGGAAGAGGGATGAGAATCGGAGGTGAGAGTCGTGCGCCCCTGAAGTAGGGGGGGGGTGAGAGTCGAAGGTGAGAGTCTTGCGCCCCTGAAGCAGGGGAGAGGGAGGGGTGAGAGTCGGAGGTGAGAGTCGTGCGTCCCTGAAGTAGAGGGGTAGGAAGGAGGGTGAGAATCGCTTCGCGTGGAAAGTTGAAACCCACGTGCGACAGTACAATCATAAATTCTACGTGTAGAAATAATAAGCGTGGATACAGTGGATACAGTCTTTTCAATAATTATAGTCATTTCGATAATTATAGCCAATATTTCTAGATGACTGACTAATAACGACTACCCGCGACCAGTAAGGGGTGATCCCGATTGACCACGGCTCGATTGGACACCACCAATCACAGCGATCGGTGCTTAGGAGCTTTGTAGTCTCAAGCGCTGTGAGTGGCTCGTGTCCAATTGAGTCGTGTCCAACTGGGTGCCACCCTAAACCAACGTGGCGACTATATTGTATGCTCATTGGTCCAGCGGTCTTATGTTATACTTGAGGCCGCAGCACACACTTTTGCATAACGCATAACGTATAGTGCATAAGCGAATCAACTAATCAGATTTTTTCCTTTCCTCCCATTCCATGGAAAAGAAGAATTTTGATTGGTTAATTCCTTTATGTACTATGCATTATGCTTTATGCAAAAGTGTGCTGCGGCCATTATACTCTGGGACTTTATGTAACTTTTACCCTATGATGAAAATGAAAAGTGCAAATTTTATATATATATATATATATATATATA